GGAGATAAAGGAATGTTCGATACAAGACGAAGGAAGAAACGGTCCATTCGATGCAAAAGAAGCGGAATCTCCGCGCTGGGTAAAGGAACTGCGGTGGAACCAAAGTCTCGGGAGTCGAGGCTTCTGGCACCCACGAATTTTCGTGAAAGCCTCGGATAGCTCCAAGACGGTGGATCGCGCGAATGAAAGGCTATTTAAATCGTCTATTCCCGTGTTCGTACCGCTTCCATCCGGAGTTCGCCTAATGCGTGCGTTTCCTCTTTCTTCCGCCTGGCTGGGGAACGCTCATCAACGAGCCAAGTCTTCCTCGAGCTCTTAGCGACAAGTGTTACCATCAGCGGAGAACTTCTGTCTCTCGCGTTCGTTGCGAATTAGGTTTTAGAATGACTAACGTCCCGTCGTTTACTCCAGAGATTTAGGATTCTGCTTGTTAGTCTCCGCGACGCTATCCATCGCGTCGTGGCGCTTCGGCTTCTGCTTTTCAGCGTTCAGAATTCTTCAGATCGAAACAGATTTTCGATCAATTAGTCTGATTGGACTAATAAGAATATTTTTGTTTCTTATTACAAACAAACAAATATTAATCTACAGTTGAATGTGTTTGTTCGGTTGGAATTAGGTTTCAGGACCACTCGACCATAGTAGATACTCCGATATCGGTTGATCGAAGCGAAGTTTCGAATCACTGCTGCATGGCCCATCGCTGAAGTAGCTATCGGTTCAACTTACAAGGATTGAATGCGTTTTATTATCATTGGCACAACTTTCGAGATCCTTGGAAGATATGTGGCTCGTTTATTTTGGAAAAGGCGCCGAGCGGATTGCATTTTGGATGGGTGTAAAACTTCGAAATGGTAACTTCCGGCGTGGTGGATGCCAAGTAATTTCGCGAAGTCCTGAAGAGGCACGGCATCATTGTGCGAATTTTCTCGATGTATTTAAAGATATATTTATTTTTTTATTTAGCATAGATTTATATATATATATAAATCACGTTTTCCGTCATTAAGGCCTGCGAAGAGTCAGGACTAAGTAGTGTCGTTTCGATTTGATTGTATTATAGTAGTTCCCCATGTTTGTTCGCAGCGAGTCGAGTTTTGGTACGACGAGAGACGATGTGTAGTTTAGAACTCGCGATGTAGATCCTCGTTCCAGTTTCAACGTGACACTATGTTACATTGAAATTGTTGCCCTACTTGAACTAACTGACGACCCTCCACTTGCTACGAAAAATAAGACGTTTTATAGCTATTTCATCGTAATTCGGCTTGGTACGCTCGAGAGGGACTCGGCAGAAGGAAACTTGACTTTAGAGCTAAAGCACGTAAAGGATACCGAAATGCCTAAGACATAAAAGAGCTTGGATCGCCCGAGAAATTTGTCTGAAGTGAATCCTGTTATTTATCGTCCTTGCTTCCAAGAAGGAGATGACGAATATTAAGATAAATATTGTGCACGATGCGAGCCCATTTATCGAAGTTCATTCCTGAAGATATCTTTTATTATTTCCTTGTATTTGTATTACATAACTCGTCTCTCTATGAGTAATTCTCAGGTAACGATGATTCTCATTTTCGTCGTTGCGAATGTAATTGAATTTCAGGAAAAAGGAGCTCTAATTGTAAGTTCTCAAGTTTTCTTTCCGAAACTGAATGTCGTATGAATAGACTGTAAATACAAAAAAGTTTTCTCTCATCTCTCTATATAACGCGAAATTTTTTTAAAGGGTTAATAAATTCTTCCTTAAATATTTTCTTCATTTCATGTTTGTCCCTTTATATTTTAACCGATCTAGTTTCCCCTGCTCACGCCGATACAGTTGAAATTTCCCTCGTTCTCCGAAACACGTAAATCTTCACGGAAGAGAAGCTTCCGTTTCGGGCCAGATTCGTATAATTCGTTACTCGCTCGATTGAACATCCCTTCCGTACACGTGTACGCATGCACATCCGCGCGATTGCTTATTCTCGAGCTCGCGTGCGCAACGCTAAGTACGTTTCAAAGTCGAGAGCTAAAGCGAGGCTTCTCGGCGAACTAAGACGCGACGATTGTTCCGCGGCGCGATCCCTCTCGTTTGTTATTCCATGTTCTTTATAGTAAACTGGCTGGAAAACTTTGGGACTCCGTGGTGCATTTTGCTCTGTCAACTTCTTCGTCCTCTCGCGTGATCCTTCGCGAGTTTCAAGAAATTCCGTCTCTTCTAATTCCGTCCGCAACTCCGTACCTCGTCGTTTCGCTGATAATTTTATGGTTGCTTGAATCCTGGCGCACGACAATTCAAGGGGAGACATTTTTCTCTCGTTTCCTGGTAACTTGATTTCTTCTGAATCGTTGACTGTGATGCTGGTTATTAAATACAGAGTGCTTCCAACGTAGGAAGTATATTCTTAACATTTATTTACTTCTGGAAATTAGATAGGGAGTCCTGTGTATCTTTGTAGAAGCACGGTCCCAGCTGATCCTCGAATATATCAAGAAATATATTTTCTTCGATAACCGACTCAAGAAATTTACTAATGATATTTATTTATTTCGTTAGTTATTCGTTTATTTGTGATACTTTCGTTCCGGTAAGTTACGTTTATTTGATTTAAAATTTAAAGAAAGAAGTATCTATTAAAATATCCTGACGAATAACTTATTAATAATCCTGTCTCAAATTTTCCCTGAAACATTTTCTTCATTTTCAGTGAATCGTCGAATGGAAAGGGTCGATCATGGTTGAATACAAAGGGCGCGAGCGAAGCGAATTATATCGTCCATCGTGTCAGACGGTTTCCTCGCATGAAAGTTCGGGTTCGGAAATTTTTTCGGTGCGCGAGCGTTTTTTTAAATATTTTTATTAAGCTCCATTCGGTGTTCGTTGGCCGGGCGCCAGCGCCCTGGGGTGCATTTTTATTTATTTTCTTCCCGTTGTAAAAATGTTCGTCGCATGACGCGGTATTTCTTCTTCTTTGCCCCGATATTGGATGCTTCCGCGAAATATGGGAATCCACTTAAGTAAATTTCTGCATATTTTATGCAAAGTGTTATCGACGTGAACTGCAATTCAGATTTCACGTCTCGGCTGGATTTTAGTGACGCGCGCTTGCTACACCTACGCCTCCGCTCCCTCTCGCCGCCGCCCCTCCCCTTGCCCCGTCGTTGGTATAAATTCACGGTTGCTCGAACCACCGGAAGTTTCGTTTCACGTCTGTTCCCTTTTTTCCTTTCTACATCCGCGAACGGTTTCTCCCTATTGGCGACGAAGTTACGGTCTCTCGGGAATTAAAATGGACGAAATTTCGAAGAATCTCACGCTGAAGCAAAATTTCGATTCGACGGTGATTCTTTGAAAGGAAGATTAAAAGATTAATTTATTTGATTTCTATTATAAAAGGTGATCGGAATTCTTCGAATTCTTACTTCATCGAGTTACAACTAAGAACCCCTTTTATTTTTTAATACAAGCACCCTTCTCAGTCGTTCCATGGTCAACAATCGAGCATATCCAACGAAAGAAACAACGATCTCCGACATCCACCTCGTCCAAAGAGAGTTAGGCAACTAAGAAGATGACAGGCCGATTGATTCGCAGCGTTAACGGCGTTAACATTCAAAGGGTCAAAGGGCGAAATTTCTGGCTCGCAATAACGTCGCGCACGTTGATCTTGTTAACCCCGTTTCGCTGACGGGTCTGCCTAAGATTGTAGCCCCCGTTACGGACCGTCGTCGGTGTCTATATTGACAAACGCAAGGGAAACAAGGGCAGAGGCGAGCCAGGGGAGGGTTGAAAGAGCGAAGCAGGGCAGCGCGTTACGGTGGACTGACCGTAAAAAAAAAAGCGTACATTTTTACGAGCACTCGCTCTAAACGACAAAATGCAATTCTACGGGCGAGCACCCTGTGAGATGTTGTTAAGATGGCGCTACGTCTCGACTGCCGACCCTCTTCGCGTCGTTCAGCCACGTATGAAACGTCCCCGCTTGGAATTGCATTGTTCCTTACCCGCTGCACTTTTCCCTTGCTGTAATTTATCGTAACGAGCTACGGGGATTCATGCACTGCTTCGACGTTCCGACTACCAAAAAGCAAAGGGGGACGTCGAAGACTGAGAGAATTCGAGTCCTGGGAGACTCCACTTCTTCGCTATTATTTCGGAGGATTTTTCGATTATGTACCGTACTGTGTGTATTTCATTAAAAACGTAGGATCGTTAAATAAAAATACTTGGAATGCTTGGCTGCATTTTTCAAGTTCTAATCAATTGTAAAAGAACACCAGCCTCTGCTTTTATTTTTAAGATAACAATTTAGAATGCTTTCCACCACCGAATCTGCCATCAAATAATGCACCCTTTTCGATGTAAATTCCCTTATCAATTAAATCCTCAAAGGAGCTGAAATTTTAACTCGATATTATTAGTGTCCTCGTTCGTTAATTTTGTGGTACCATCAAAGCTGAACGGAAAATTAACAGCGTCGATCGCGATCCTCGACAGAGTCAAGACACATCTGTGGAATGTCACCGACGCGCGTGTCTCTATAAATCAATATTAAGAAACGTTGGTTCGCGTGCAGAGGTTTTAACTAACCTCGTAAAGTCTGGTTAACGACTGAGAGGGTTCTAACGCGTTACACGTAAAAAACGACACCTGTCTACTTATCGTGACCTGCTCCTGAAATATGTTTATCATTGTCCATTCTACCACGAAACGTAGAAGGAAAATTTTCAGGTTTTTTGTTACCTGGCAAAAATGTACCGAAGCTACTGTAAGCATACTTCGACCGATAAGGAAGTGTTTAAATATCGTGGTATTCCCATTTTACCGAATGTTCCAGCTAACCTACTTACAGACGTAAATATGTGGGGTAAACATGAACTCGAATTTCCGAGTGTGTAACGAAGACAGTGTTCTGAGGGAGACAACGAAATAAGGCGTATAAAAGTCGTTCAAAAATGTGATTTCAGCAGTGCACGGTAACACCTTCTCGCTGGAAGAACATTGGATTTAAACTTACCTGTTTTCCCGCGCTCCCTGGAGTACTGTTCGGTTTTCCGCGGAACCAGCAGCTTGGCGTCGTAGCGAACGTGACGTTGTTCGCTATTGAAACGTCCTTCCAGGAACGGAAAGCCCTGACAGTAGAAAAATAATTTAATTAGTACATAGTGACTACTTCGGACAGCGTGGAACAGTCGAGAGTTTTATAAAGTGGGCGAGTCGAGAGTCACAGTGGTTTGATATAAAACTATTGATACGCGGAGTCTTCGAGCGCAAGTAGAAACAGTTAGCAATGGTCAGACGCGCTTCCACTTTATACAGACTGAAAATAACTGCAGTTTCCCGAAGCACCGTATCCCCGTTATTTTTAAAAAGGGTTTCGACACAATTTCCAGAACACGAGGCTGGAAGTGTATACTTGAATATATTAATAAAATCAAAGACAGACCGTTTGACCGAAGATACATTCCAAATAAATTCATATCAAAGTTCCTGTGTGTCTTAGCCTTCCTACGTAACCTCTCAAGGACTCAAGGGTCGCCTGAATAAAATATCGCAATTTTCTCTGAGCGTCCAAAGACTGTGCGGATCCGGAGACGGGAACGAGGAGCGTCGAGACGCGTCTGCCGACGGCGGAATTAATTTTCGACCGTGTGTCTCGGTGTATCGCGGCATGGAAACACGTCCTTACGTAATTCAAAGTCTGCTTAATTCGTCAGCGCCCGTGAGCCCTGTTTCTCTGTTTCCAACAGGGACCAGCGACGATTTCCGTTCCACATACGCAGCTGTGCGCCAAGGAGAATCAGGACGGATCCCTTCAGACGGCTTCTCTCTCGTCGGAGGTCATCTCGCGAGGTTACTCGTCCCGCGAGATGGAAAAACTTAGATTACCGCATTTATCTGCACTCTGGTTCTGGAACCTTATTCCACCTTTCTCCAACCCTTCCTCCTCCACCTCGCGGACGTTTCGTCCTCGACTCCCCATTCGACGACGTATCTCCGACAATTTTGCGAGACTCTTCCGGTTCATCTCTCCTTTTCCGCCTTCTCTCTGTTTTACTACGTCAAATATTGTCCGTTACCCCTCTCTGTCGAAAGGGTTGCGAGCTTTCGTTCTCCGATTTCGCCACGTTTCCGATTCTTCCCATTCGTTCCTAGCTGATGTGCATGTTCGTAGTTACGTACAGGGCGTCCAAACGGTCTGGGTTGGGAACCATTTACATTCTGACTTGAATTTTTACAATAGAGACGAGTTACTTTGCAGAGCAAATAGAAACAGTAGAGAATGGTCAGACGTGTACTTGGTTCACTTTCCTACGAAAACGAAGTCTTTTATTACAAAATTTCATGGATATTTTCTAACTGTTTTTGCACGAAGAATCATAAGTTTCTACGATCTGTTCGATATTCAGAAAAATGTTCGAAATTGCGAACAATCCTCAAACACATCCCTCGGTAAATTAAACTGCATAGTTTCTTCTTCAAAGGACTCTTTGACACTCCGATTCCTTCTTTATCTTAATTTAAAAATTCCCTTTAAATTCCCTGTATCGATGCGATCCTTTTCCCAAAGATCTCACCCTCCCTCGCCGTCCTTATCTCCTCCTCTTTCCTTTATCCCACGACGAGGCCACGACGAATAAAAGAAAGTTTCGCGGAAGCCTTCCTCGATTCGACTCTCTTCTTTCGCTGGATCCTTCCAAACCCTTTCAATCTTTCCGCGACCTACGCCCCGCACGCCGCAGATTTACGACGTGGAAGTACGTACTTCGGGAACCGTCGTCCCAAAAAAGTTTTCCTCTTCGCGCGTTGAGCCGGTTTAAGGGGCGCGCCGTGAAAAAAGGAAGAACTCGGGCACTTGGGTGGGAATCCCGTTCTTTAAATTATTCCCGTTCCACGATACACTCCGCCACGGTGAATTCCGAGACTCGTCCGTGTCGTCGTTCCCGCGATACTTTCTTTTATTTCCCTCGATCACGGCGTTCGCCATTCACAGGGAGGGAAACTGAGATCAGGGAGATTCGACCCAGGCACATCGTTCGACGCTTTGACACGTCGTGACTTGGCTTACAGATTGGCGAATCGTGTAATTTAATTAGGGAAGGATTTTGTTCGTTGTTAAGTGAACGATTTTATTAGAATTTTAAAGAACTGGAGCGTGAATGCTTTAATTATGGCTGAGACCTGCTAGCGACTTGATACCGCAAGGAAATAGAATTTTGAACAGACTCTAGCGATTTAATATTTCCGAACACGAAAAGTTGAGAATAAAATTTGAACAAGTAATCGTGAGGTATTTTTCTATATTTTAATATCTATCGATTGGAACAATTGAAACTTAATATCTCCGACGTAATTAAACATTTTTTTATACATACAGTATCATTCATTGTTCGATTAAACGTTAATAACAATTATGGTTCAGAATAAGTATCCATTCGAGACATTCGACGATAGTTAAATTAATTATTAACAAGACTTGTTATTCAAACAATGATGGGGAATATGATTTTGCTGCGATGTTAATGTTTCACGAATTATTTTCTCGATGGATTCACTCTTCTTCGATAGCGAGCCGCGACTAGTTGAATAAATTGTTAAATAGATTGCGAGTATATGTAAGGAAATGAAATAAATTCATATTTGTCTACAGCCTCCTCGCGTCAGCTCGTGTTACGGTTACTTTTCACCAAACGTTTCTTTCATAACGCAGTTGAATTTCGCATACACCCGAGCGGACGTGACCATTGTCCGAGAATCGCGGTCATTTTTTCCCTCACGGTCGATGAAATTCGAAAAATGGCCCCGCGAACCTTTTACTTACCGAGAACGGTCGTATGAAATTATTCCGACGGGCTCAGGAGCCACGTGTACGTGGGGTCGTTCATTCTTATGCGAATTGCACTTTTAAGAGTCTTCGGGTGCCGCGCCGTGGAACGGCCAGTTAAGCTTGGTCATTCCGCCAGAATCGGTCCCCCTCATAATCGAATAAGTCGTCCCTCTTGACCCACTTCCCTGACTTCGAACTAGACTGAGCCACGTTTCGGTAATAACGAGCCACTTTTTTCGAAATTTGTTCGCCAAGAGACGGAATTAAGGATCCCGAGTCTAGGCATCGAGTCAAAGCGCTTAAGGCAACAGAAATGAGCGACTCGGTGAATTGATTTAAACTCGAAATATGCCGCGAGGGTCAAGCATTTCCTGTGGAAAACACGAGCGGGACAAGAAGAGTCGGAAAAGTTGGCAACTTGGAAAAGTGGTCTCAAGAAAATTGCAGAGTCCTCGTCTTTTAATTTCAAACTCGTCGCGTCGGTTCTCAGCGTTGACGATGTAACGAAAGGCGAAAATGCCGAGTTCCCTCGAGAAGAGAACGAATTCGAATCTTCAGAAACTCCGGGAAATCCGCTGGACTACGACCGAGTTCATTTTTCAACGCTGCTCGAGTTGTCAAGTTTTTTCTGTCAACGTCTGGTGCATATCTGTTATCGTTTCTATGAGTCCCAAATTTATTCGATGCTGGTGTAATAGTGGAAATTATAAAAATTTCCTTCGTCGCGAGTAATAGCGAGCTTATAGTGAAATTTGATTTCCTTTGATTTCTTTTTAATATTCTACGATCGATTTTACTAGTTTCAAAAAATGCAGCACTGTTGGACTCAGATACGATAGAATCGTCTGAAAGATGGATAGCGAACGATGTACCACAAACGATACAATTTTCTATTTATCGTTCGATATGTTACCCTGAAGCTAGCCTGAGTCTTCGAGCAAAAAATATTGTATAATAGAAAGTAAATTAGCTTAGAAAAAAAGTCCTACCATTCTCCGTAACGACGGTGTAACGCGTCTCACGTTTGACGCAAGGACGAAACGATATCCAGCACGAAGTTCTGTCCATTCATCACACTTCCTGGATTTATCCATCATTGTCTGTCGCCTTTTCCGTCACTTAAACAATTCTCCGAGGGGTACGCGAGGAACATTTCGTTATTATTTACAAACCCTAGAGTTTATAGCGATTAAACCAGAGTTTTCGAGTAACTAATTTAACGTAATCGGAGTTAAAAACGTAGTGTTTGCCAAATGGAAGCAATATACGACTCGATCTGATGTACACGCTGCACGTTTCCGATTCAGGGGGGTGGATAGCAGCCACGCGTGTTAGATATAGCCGCGCATAACAAACCGGAAAGACTGGTATATATTACGTAACTGAAAATGGATGCAAACTACGTTTGTCGGCATCGAGGTTCCGCGAATGCCTTCCGAAGCACTCGACAGGGAGGAAACGAAGCTCGTTTATTTAGCCATTCGCGGGAAAATCCCCAACGTCGATGTGTACCACCCATCCTACCGTTCACAGCCGCGGGATTCTCACTTCGTGCTCATGCGAATTGCACTTTTAAGAGCCATCGGGGATCGTATCTCGGACGGCAGCTAGTTAAGAGTTTGATTGCGGCGAAACAAGCCGCTTTCGTAATCGGATGAACGCGGCCGTCTCCAGTTTTCGACTCCTTTAAACTTGCAGACAGCTCTGCGGATAATTCGCGGAGACCGAATGATGATTGCTTGAAATCGCAGCCACGTTCACCGAGACAGTCCATGGCAAAACGGTTTGCTCCGCCATCGACGAATTGTAATTGAAACGATGTCATTATTATATTATTTTTACTACGAAAGCGACAGATTCGAAATTTAAATAATCAACGTATGAATGTCTTTCGAATCCTCTCTCGTATGATAAATTTTAATATTTGATTTAATTACCCTCATTCTCCTGCGTCAGTTATCGACCAAATAATTTCAGTCATTTCGTATTTTCGTTTAATAAGTTCCACTTTCGAGCGGTCAACAAGTGGTTGTGTATGATGAAAATCAGATGAAATGCTAGAATTCTTAACAAATATCGATGTTTCGAATTCCCACTGAATCATATAATAAATTCTGATATTTGGTTTCACTTGCCAACCGAATAACTCGAAATATTTCATATTTTTCGTTAGTTTCCATTCTACCGGATCAACAAGTGTTTACGTGTCATAAAAATCATACGAAAATATTGGCATCGCTAACGATACGTAAAAAGAATTAAAAAACTACAATTAATACCCGCAACGTCATCGTCAATGGTCGT